ATTGGAAAATAATTTGATATAATAAATGTATACATATATTTTTTTTAAATATTTTAACACATTTTGGTGCTATTACCAAGTATTTGAGGTTCACAGTTATTAAATTAATTATATTATTAACTATAAGATTTATAACTATATTGTGAAACATACCCATAATTCATATATTACAAATATACTACTATATTATACACATATATATTACATACCCCGAAAATTGTAGAACACTGAATAGGTATGTAATAAATAATATTTCCATCAATTTTATCAGGATATGTAGTATGAACGTATAATAATTATTATTCTTTAATTAAAATTGCTTATGTTATCATTTTATAACAGTTCGTATATAGTGATATAATATCATACTAACATATTTAATTATAAATTTGTTCTAATACATGTTTGTAATTTAAATTTGTACAACACAGTAAAAGATTATAAAATGCACGTGTCAACGTTATTGTTATAAATGTTATAATATTATAGTAGTTAGGTTTCTCTTATTAACTAGATTTACTTAAGCTACTGGTATAGTTTATTATATTGGTTATTAACGATAATTGATCTTTATTCGCATCAGTTTTCTTTGGGAGTTATTAAAGGTATACATAGCTTGATCGTTTGTCATAGGAAAGTGTAAAATCAAATAGCCAATATGTTATTTCAACCAAACGTATTATCGCAGCTTTTATGTGGGCTGTGATATGAGTCATAATTCCCCGTTAACCTCAGTTAGCCCAGTCGAGGTCAACCGTCCATATTGAATCTGCATCTTTGCTGAAGGAAACCATTAAAACATAAACATACCTACACTAACACTAACACTTCTCTCGTATACTGTATATATTTACCTACATAGACACACACATATATAAAATAAATTGTTTTTACTTATATTATTTGCTGTACTCGTCTGTTAAAAACATGATATGATGTCAGACAAATAATGGACTGCTTGTAAATTACTGGTACCTAATATTATAAATTATAATAATGTAATATATGTACTTAAAGTTAATACTTTTTTATTTAATTTCGCTATTGGCTCGAGCTGTATGTATTGTGAAGAAAAAAATACAATACCATACTCAAAAATGCAGTATCATTTATCGCGCATAATACGTTTGCACATTTTTACACATCAAAATATTTGTATACTTATTTGTATTTATCAGGTACCTAGGTTTTAACGATTTTGGTGGTAATATTATATCACATTATATATTTTACAATATAATATTTACATTATCTTTATTGGTTATTGTTTTTATTTTAATGTAGCTACTAAGTACAGATTGCATTATTTAAATAATAATGTATTTTAACATATTCATTTCTATTTTAATCTTTATTTGATTCCTAATAACGTATTAATTATTTATACTTTTAAAAATATTATGTTTAAGTATTTACATAACTATTCTTTTTATACATTGATATTTACTTTCAGTTTTTGTGTTTATATTTCATTATTACCTACTTATTAGTTATTCATAATATAATGATCACATATTGCTACATTCTTTAAAATATTATSGGCTTATTATAAGACGTTATAGTATAATTTATTATAACGAATGATAGTTTTTACTTTAAAAGTATTTTAAATTAATTTCGAGTGGTCGATTTTTTTTTTTTTTGTTGGAAGATTATTATTTATATCTATATTTTTTTAAATTCAAAATTTTGCAAAATGTGGTTTTCAAAAATTATACACATACAATTCCTTAAGTAGCTGAAAAACAAATGTACTGTTTATAAACATGTTATATATATGTTATATATAATATAACCACTAGTCATATAGGTAGGTATTCAAGATATAAATTATTATTGTTTGTGTGAAGTTGTACACATCTACTATTATATGATTGAAACACGTTTCCTTAATGCTTTATTTAAACTTTTTTAACTGAATTAAATTCTTTAGAATATTAATTTTTTTTTACATAAATCATTATTTTTAAATCATATTTTTACACTATTATTTAATATGAATCGTATCTAAAATCTTAAAAATTAAAACAGCTAATAAAAAAACTTCAAATAGTAAAGAGTTATCATTTGTTTATTTTTAAAAATTGAAGAGGCCTCATGAAATTTTATGATACTGGCCCTAAAATCATATAGTTACGCCACTGGTTATTTAATACCTTATTAACTGGTTGACAAAAGAGCTCTTCGATCATTTGATCAGAAAATAGCCTTGCGCGCCGTCAAACAGAGGACAACGTAACACACATTTAACCTCCAAATTTAACACAAAAAAATTATTAGGGATAGCATATTGAAACTGCGAAGACTAGTTATTATTTAATTATTTATTTATACATACGTTTTGCAGATGTTAGGTTTTATTATGACTTCCCTGGTAAATATGCTGTGGGCGCCCAAATTGTGAATTAAGTTATAACTTTATGCAATAATAATGAAGTTTATAATTTAAAGTAATTTTCAAAATTATTAGAATAAAAATAAATGGTATTTTTTCTTTAGGAAATGGTTCAAGCTAAAGACCCACCAGCTCACTATTTATCTAGACTCCGTACATATTTAGATCCAAAGGCTTCTCGAAGTTCAAGAGTAAGTKAGTTTTTATTAAAAAGAGCCATGCATATCATTTATCATTATWATATAATCTTTAATTTTATTATTAAATGTTGATTTTTGTTTTATAGAAACGAAAAATGGTCGGGGACGCCACTTCCACGCAGGTGTTACGGGATCTAGAGATATCTCTTAGAACTAATCATATAGAGTAATTTCAACATTTATATTAGACATGTTAAATTTAATATAAAACTAATTACAAATTTGATCAAATAGGTGGGTTCGTGAATTTCTTGATGATCAAAATCATGGTTTAGATTCGTTGATTGACTATCTTAGCTTTAGATTAGTGATGATGCGCCATGAATATAGGTCTTGTGTTGACGTGACTAATATCTCAACCGAAAAAATCGCTCAAGGTATMTGAATGTTTTAGTTTATATATTTTAATCCAATAGTTCGGGAAATATTTGATTTCAGAGTTTGTTTTGTTTACGTTTATGTAGGTAATCATATTCATACAAATGGCATTAGTAACGGTAATGTAACGAATCACGCGAGACCTACTTTAGACGTACTAGATAGCCCTGGAATCAAACGGAGATCGCGACACGCTGCAAAGTTAAATATGGGTGATACCAAAGATGATATACACGTTTGCATAATGTGTTTACGAGCTATCATGAACAATAAGGTGAGAACTTAAAAGTCTAATTTAAAAAAAAATTAA